ATTAAAGCGCGCATGTGACAAAAAGTGGTAGAAAACGAGTAATACGAACGATATGATACAGTCATATCATTTGCTCGCTCAACAACTGGAGAACGGTTTGGCACCGCGCCAAACTCATCGCGCCTGACACGCCCAACCGTCCGCAGCGAACTACTGTGCGTGCGCGGCATTCGCACCAGGATCCACGTTGGTGATTCAACTTGCAAGTCCTGTATTGACAAATACAACACAATGAGAAATAGCCATTTGCGCGCGTCATCATCGAATGAACCATATAACACTGCCTAGCCTTGTCCCCCCCCCTATTGGATGCTCGTGGGCGTAACCTTAATGCTTCCTGCGCCTTGCTTGGCACTTTTTGAGTCTTGAAGCAGCACAGCCTTGCGATGACAGATCAGCTGACCTTATACACTAAGGGGTACAGCATCAGCTTATCGGACGGTGCCTTCAAGAAAAACGCAACCATTGAAATGGAAACAGCCGAAGAGGACTCTCTGAGCAAGATGCTTAGCCCGGAGTTGAAAATCCTAAGTGGGTTGTAATAAGAGTGCTGAGTTGAGGAGAGGCGACATGATCCCGGCCAGAGCTCAAACCTGTTCCTCAGGTTGAGTGACATAGCGTGCTCAGATTCGGCATTACACCACTGGGGCTAATGCGAAGAAACAAAAACGAGGAAAACGCGCTTAGCAAGTTTTTTTAACCGGGCAGATAAAACGCTGGTTTAGATCCAGACAGCAGGCGACTTGCATTCTTCACCTTTTTTTTAATTCTACTATTACGCCAATTATTTATTTACTTCTTCTTTTCGAATGTAGTTGATACCGTCGAAATAAGTTGGGGCGGAGTCAGTGGCAGGACGAGCCCTCAACCCGCTCCCTTTTCTACCAACGAGGAATCGGTTACTGAGGCGATAGTCGATTTAGGAAGAAAGCAGTTAGCGGTGGGAACGCCGCGGGTGGGCTCATTCCATCCCTTTTGAAACCGGCCCGACTGATTGCGAAGATATCAACTGTAAACCAACACCACTCGTCTATCTCTTTTGCGCCATCAAGAAGCAGCAACCCACTCTTCACTGAAATGGTTCTTTTAATGATTCATCTACTTACCTCCTTTTACTCTTTTTATCTCGGAGATGGAGTGGGTGTGCTGCCTGCTCCAGGCGGCTGCCTTTTCGGTGACCTATTGTCGTTTTGAGTCATTTGTGCATGTTTTTGTCAAACACAAGACTGGCACTATGCACTTATTAAAAATGATAATATCCTACCAAAACAAGTCGCGCGCCGTATTCAAGTTAATTACGCAGCCACGCCCTCCCAAATTTTGGGATATGTAGTGTGCTTACAGCGACAGAGTATCCGAATGATTGAATATCCCTTTCATTTGATAGTGGAATAGTTCAGAAGGCGACTTATCCTCCAACTATACTTCATCTCACGGAGATGGTGAAGGCGTGGCTGCGTACTTCATTTGAACATGACGTGAGATGCGTTTTCGTCCAGGTATTTTTTGTGAACCAACCTCATCTTTTCCTATGCTACAAAAGACCCAATTGCAGCTGTGTCAAAACGGCAATATCCCACCGACAGGTCATGCCTGTTACGCTCAAACAGGCATCCAGCCACGCCCCTACCGTCCCAGGCCGCGTTCATACTTTGCGTGAGTGTTTTGAGCGTACAGCGTTTTGGACGATTAAGAAGGTACAGGTATCTATCTAGAGCGACTAAGGAAGTATAGGTATCGATACAGGTTTTGAGCATTTCGCGGGTCGTATTGAAAATTTCGAACAAAACTGAACAACCAGAAAGCGCTTGCGTACGCTAAAAACGCGAGATCGATATCCATACTTTGTTAATCGCTCCCGTACGCTCAGAACACTTACACAAAGTCTGAACGCACTTCAAGGAGGTGAGGTGTATGTGTAGCGCTGGGAAAGATGTGGTGTTAAGTAGTGCCACTTACTATGTTTGCGGGCCTGGGGTCAAACCTTGGATCGCTTCATGCACTTTCCAACTGAGGTACTACCTTTGAGGAGTCAATTGGGTGGTATCTGACTGCTCTGACAATGAGATATAAAGACCTCCGCGAGTCTTTTGATGCTTCTCACTTCCAAAGCCACTGCGATTCCAGAGTGCGCTGCTTATCGCAGAAGGGGGCTGATCAGCGTTGGAGGCTTAGTCATTCCTTCTTTATGCAGCAGCGTAAAATAGTCACTGATTACTGGATCACGTACCGGAAAACTACTAATCACTTTGACCTGCGAGGGGTCAAACGCAAGTTCAAGGACATGTCAAGATATACGAGCGATCCGATCCATAGTAATTTCTACCAGAGTCGTACCCACACTCCTCTACTGCTGGTGAAATCAGTTATTCTCAATATTTTTTATTTTTTTTGCCCTATATTTCTCTCAGGGCATGCTACATTTGCCCTTCACTCACGGCCTTGGAAGTGCTAGAAGTTCATTGTCATTAAGGACGAGGTGTCGGCTATTTAGATAAGAATCTCTGCGTAACTTCCGCTGTCACTCAACTCTCTCTCAGCTCCATTTTACATTTAAGCTTGTAGTCTGGCTTCTGGTCAAACTGGGCCAGATCCGTTCGTGCTGGGCTACCCAGACCTGAATTTGGCCTAAAAGTACCTGTGACTTCTGAGGAACTAGCTGCTGGTTAATTACACGCGTCGAGTTTTCTATTTGGTATTTTTTGATCGATCGATATTGATAATATATTGGAACTCAATTTCAGGTTTATAGGTTTCCTTTGTAACTTACTCTGGAGATTAGTATATCGTAACCACCTTGGACACTATCACTTTTAGGACTTCTATGATGGCGTCTGTGATGTCGGTTAGTGTTGTTTTCGAGCAGCGCTTAGATAGACAGCCTCGGATGTGGTCAGGACATGCACTTTGCGGCGATGCTATAGATTCTCACTCTCATTTGCAGCTAGTATTTCTTAGACATTTGGCTTGACTACAGAACTCTCACTAGGCAGAGTTCACGATCATATTATTATTTAAGCTCTTCGTAAGGATCGGTAGTGTGAGCTACAACGACAATCTAGTAAGAGTTTCACGTCAGAAAGTGGCACACAGGCGACACTAGGTTGCTCAAGTGACTCCGCCCATGTTGATAGATGTCTTATCTGCTGTCTTACTAGTTTGCATTTTGCATCTCATGGCTTTCTCTGGCCTCCCGCTTCACATCAATATAGATTCTTTTTCTCTCGCTTGGCACACAGGGCACATTATTGGAAAAGTCAACCACCACTCCTAGAGGGCCGGAAAGTATTAGGTTGTCCGGAAAGTTCTCAGCGTTTTGGGTGTTTCACTTTAAACGATCGTAACTTTTTTAATACTCATCGGATTTAATCGAAATAGGCACCATTCGAATCAGCACACTTTTGCCAATGTGACAGCAGTCGAGAAATCCCATCAAAGTAAAAAACTGGGTGGTCGAAAACGAAATCCACGAAGGCTTTTTTGCCTGGTCCTGATTGATGAAGTATTTTCCAGCAAGGGAGTTCTGAAAATGTTAGAAAAGGTGATAGTCGGTTGGCGAAAGGTCTGAAGAATATGGCGGTTGAGGTAGAACTTCAACCCCCAATTCGTTCAATTTATGGATAGTGATTTGTGAAACGTGTGGGCGGGCGTTGTCATGCAAAGGAATCGGACCCTTTCTTTTGATAAGTGTTGGCTGCATCTGACAAAATTTTCGGTACAATTCGTCGATTTCTTCACAGTAGGGTTCTGCTGTGATGGTTTGGCCTGGTGATAAAAAGTTATAGTGGATCACACCAGCCGATGACCACCAAGCCGTGACCAGAATCTTTTTTTCGTGAGGGTTCGGCTTTGAAAATTACCTCGGTGGTTCGTCGAAATCCAACCACTGTCCGGAACGTCTCCTGTTATCATACATGACCCATTTTTCATCACAGGTGACAATTCGGCCAAAAACAGGTCGTTTCTGCTGCGCAAAAGCAATGCAGAAGGAACCTCGAGACGTGCCGATTCCTGCCGGTCACTCCGATTGTGGGGCACCCAATTGTCGAGTTTTTTCACCTTCCCAATGCGTTCCAGACCATCTGCAACAGTGGATTTGCCAACGCCTAGCTCTTCTGCTATCTCTCGAACTGTTTGGGATGGGTCAGCCTCCAAAATCCCCCTAAAATCCTCGTCAGATATTGCTTTAGGTCGACCGCTATGAGGTTCATCTTCAAGGCTGAAATCTCCAGAACGAAATTTGTTGAGCCATTGCCGCACAGTGCTTTCTCTAGCACTATTGGGCCCCCACCCCAATTTATAGTCGAAGAAAAAATCGTCCGAAGTGCTCTTTTCACATGCTTGAAAAAATCTTGAAAAAAGGGGGTTTATCAAGCAATGGTGAAACGGCAATTACCATCAGATAGCGCAAGAAATTCTCTACAGGATGTGCTACTGAGAAGCAAGGCAGAATGAGTTTTTAATCAGCAGTGAATGTACAAAGAATAGGTGCACAAAACGCTGAGAACTTTCCGGACAACCTAATAAATACGACTCCCTCCTCCCAACAATGAGCAGATACGAATCCCTCCTTTTTTTACAACGAAGCGAGAAAAATCAACTATCAAAATAAATTTTTCTCAGCCCAAATACAACCGCTCTCCTGGCGGCCGAATGCGACTCCCCTGTTGGGGATTCCCCAACAACGATGTGTCCTGTTGACACAACTACGGCCTTATCTGGAGCGTTTTTGACGATTTCCCCTTCTTTTTTCTTCACGGCTGAGCTAGCACATAACCTCTTGTCCCTGAGGTGGGGTATGCGTTTGAACACGGCATAGAATGGATTACTAATGGATATTTTAGTTTGAGATAACTGTTATCTTCTCCAGTGTTGGGCAGAGATATGATCACGACTGGGTCAAAATGTAAGTATCTCTCCAGAAGCTAAGCCACTGCCACTTTTAGTCGAAGTGCGTGGCCACATCTCAGAGATTTCGAGTGTGCAATTTTGTTTCTAACCCCGCTACCTACTTCGCTGGCTGATCGCGAATTCTGCTTTAGAACTGTCAGTTACTGGTGTAATGGCGCGCACGTTACGCCGCATTAGATGCATCGTCGCAACATGGATGTCCTAATCTTCACCCGGGAATGTCGCCCAGAAGGCAGGGGCTGCGTTGTTCGACATCGTATCCCCACTGGTTCTTGCAGAGTGTGGGCGTTGTTGGACATCCGCGTTCCCAGTCCTGGGACTCCTAGACCAATAGACGGCGCAGTCCGGCTTGGTGAGACACCGTGGGGCACTCAACTAAGCTAGCATAGGCCACCTTGTGAAGACCTTTAAATTCCTGCAACCAAGGTGACTTGCTCGCACCATTTCTGAGCTTTGCAGAAGTTTACAGGTCTCACTAAAGGAGATCTGGTGTTGAGTAAACTAACAAGGGCTAGCAAATCTGCAAATTGCTCCTTCCAAACCGAACAGCGTCCCAATACACATCGAAAACTGGGCGGTTGACCATAAATAAGCAAAAAAAGGAATGTTCCTCTCTAATTTCGGAGTATTTTCAGGTCAACGCATTGCTGTTGTCGCTTTTGGTGCTTGTGAGGTCGGAGCTGATGCCAGGTCCTCTTTAAAACTTCGTGCTTGGAAAAACGTTCAGCTACGCATGATTGGCCGATTATTGAAACGCGTTCAGTTTCAGCTCCACCTTCGCCTCTGCTTATTCATTCTCCATTAGGACGATCTCGCGGTGAGCCTCAGCCTCCTGCTCCTCCTCCACCTGACTGTAGGAGCGTCCGTTGTCCTAGCGGTTCTCACTGTGAAATGGTCCAGGAGCCATGTCGGTCATTTCCATGTCCGAGTGCAATTCCAGAATGCAGGCCGATGGGTAAGTCCTTCTCTAAAATGTCGTTCAACAACCGGGAAAATAGACCTTCTGTTTCAGTTTTCTCCGCTCCAACTACGACAACCACAACGTCACCTCCAGTAACCTCACCTGCATCTCCTCCAGCACCATCTCCGCCACCTGACGCGCCGCCGACACCTCGACCAGAGATTTTACCTCTTCAACAGCCCACCAATGCTGCAATGTCACCAGTCCCTCCTGATGCTGTACCCAATCTACAGGAAACCCCTGGAGCTCCACCCACACAACAACCGAGCGTTTCCAAAATGCCATCTCCACCATCCGTCAGTCCCTCGGTAGCGCAACAGGTAGCTCTCAACTCAATGCCTGATATTGCTGAAGTGAGGCCATCATCGCCCTCTTCTGCTTCCACACAGCCGACCCTTTCTCTTGGATCATCAACATTCCCGAGAAGATTGGCGATTGTCATAGGAGTTCGAACTACCCCGTCACCCTCAACTAGCACCCCTACGCCCTCATCTCCTTCCAGATCAGCAGCTGGAACTTGTTTTGGAGTGGTGTGTCCAACAGGCACTTCCTGCCACCTTCTAGAAGGGGTTCCACAGTGCGATTTCACAGGTACGGTATTGATCTCTTAATATGCTTGAACCTCCTGGCCGCAGATTTATTATAGCGCTTTTTTGCCCTGATGTATTATGATCCTTGTTACACTGGCCGTCATCTAGTAAAATAGGGCGCGATTGCTAACCTAAATAAATCTAGAATACACGGGGCAAGCTATGTGAAGGACGCATTGCATGTTTACCTATCAGGTTTACTTTTTGCATGGAAGGTGGGCAGGTCCGCAGCTGTATGGTAGTTGTCACTTTTGGGGGGGGGGGCAACGGTTAGGACTCCACGAGAGGTCAGCCTGCCGCCGCGACGCGGCAGTTTTCGCTATGTGCGCGGCGTTTGCATAGTCCATGAGATTTCCAACAGTCTGCTTTATTTCTTGCACGTGTGAAAACTATAAAAGGAGTAGGCCCGATGTTAAACCACATATTAGTGTAAACAAAGTCCATTCACATGGAAATAATATTTAAAGAATATGTCGCAATCTCCAATATTCACCTTAGGGTGAATCCTTCTTTTGCCCTCGACAGATTTGCGTGGTGCCAGAACTATGTAAAGGGACCGGAATCTTAATATAACGACTGTATGGATCTCGTCCAATCACGGCAGCAATCGCCGCGCGCGGCGAGGCGAAACATAGCAGCCGTGACCTCGCGTGGAGTCCTAACCTACACCTTTTGGGCGTTAAAAAGCGTGCAATGTTGTCAACATATTTCTGGCAGCGTTCAGATTTTGTGAGCCCGCGTCGACGCGCTATCACTGCAATGGCGCAATGATGCTGTAGACGGGAGCGCGCAGCGCAGATGGATATTGATCGGCGCCGGCCGCTCGTGTTGCAGGAGAGCATGGGGAAATAGGAGTGTAGGTAATGGTTCGGTTGCAGCAGTAAAGGAGCGCACAGGGGCTGGAGTGGGGCCAGTTCGCCGACCCGGGAGGGGCATATTGCACTTTTGCTACTTCCTATCAACGCTTTGACCCA